GCTCTTCCTTACACCTCCTGCCCCCTCGCGCCCCGCCGTCCCCCGGCGGCCCCCGTTGCTGCCCCTTCGCTCCTCCGGCGCTTGCCTGACCGAGAGAAGCCCTCGGTGGTGCCGCTACTGGTTCTCCTCGGCCGCCGGGTCGCGGCACGTGCATTCGTCCTGGTCACAGTCAGCAGCAAACGGGATCACCTGGGGGAATGAAGGGAGATGTAAGCCTGGACCGAGACTTGGCCTTGAGATCCCTGGCCCAGCAGCACCCCTATGCCCCTGCAAGCCCTCTCCACCCCGGTACGGACAGACAGACAGTTTGGGCTGTGCCCTGATGGTGGTGGTGGTGTGGAGACTGCCAAGCTCCATGCTCGCCAAGTAATAGGCTCTGATACAGAGTGTACCTGGCTGGGTTTTGTTCTTAGTCTTTTCCTTTTTGTTAACTTGCATTTCAGATTTTGCAACCAAGGGTCAGCTTGAGTCTTGTGTCCCGAATGTCAAACTGGAGAGAAGTCTCCCCTGGCAGATGTAAGACATTTGGACTAGGGCTGGCAGTGGTGAGGCACCTCAGATTTCAGTTTTACTCTGACCCCTGTTAGAAAACCTCTTTGTCCATGTCTGAGCCCATGGTCCTGTCCTTCAAGGTACTCCTGGCTCTTCCAGGCTCAGCAAAGCATGAGGGTAGCACGGTCTTGTCTTTTGCACCTCTGGGAGGAACTCAACCAATCTCCCAGCTACAAAGGCTGACCTCCATACTACCTGATGCAGGAGCCATGGTAGAGGCATACAGTTCTTGTGCATTATGGATTAAAAAAAAAAAACAAAACAAAACAGGCCAGCTGGGGGCTGTGTGAGCAGGAACGGTCTTCAGTGAGCAGGCAGTGGGTCCATCTAGGGTAACCCACAAGCTGTGCTGCTTTGAGACATCCCGTGCAGGTAGAGAGGCTCATTGCACATTGCTTTGTCTACGTCAACTCTATGTGGCTGAGCAAGCTTATGTCACCTTAGCCGGTGGCAGCAGAGCAAGGCAGGAGGGCACCAGCAGAGCATCTGGCTCTTGGTTGACGATTGCCCAGTCATGGACTCTGGGAGCAGGGAAAAACATTTCCTCCAGAGGTTTTATACACACCAGGCTCAGAGCCATCGGTTTTTCTTGCTGTGGAAGCACATTTGATTTTTCACATCCTGGGCCAGTGAAAGGCTGGATGGAGCCTGTTTGGGTGTTTGAACCCCATATTCCTGCATCTGCCTTAACGGAGAGGCTCTGGAGGCTTGTGCCTTGGGGACCTGGGAACTATGGGGGGTGCGAGCTGGGGCTTGGTCTCCTTAAAGCCATGGGACTGAATCACCTCACTTTCCACTGCAAACCTGTCCATATTTTGGCCAGAGAAACAGATGTCTCAGACCTCCTGAGAGCCATGCCTTGCTCTGAGGTGTCATGATATCGCTGTGAAGGTTTCACTCATCACTTGGGTGTAAAGCCTTTTCTCTCCTATCTCAACTGGATCTTCCCAGGATTTTATTTTTCTTTTTCTCTGTGTGTGTATGTGTGATGAAAGGAAAAATGATTCAAGCTCCACAACAACAAAGATGAGAAGATCCAAATTCACATATTTTTGCAGTGAGAAATTATCTCATGCCTTATGGTTTGTTTTGCTGTTGGATATGCTTAGGAAGGATGGGCTGTGAGCGCTGGATAGCAAGTAAAGTGGGAGGGGAAGTTGTGATGGGATACAAGGAAGGGTCTCTGCAAACCCAATGCCAAGTTGCTCCCTCTACACTATTCCTCACTCCTTCCCTCCCCAGGAGGACTGGGAGGGAAACACAGCCCATAGCAGATGCCAATGGGCCGTAACAAAAATCCCCCTGAGATTGTTCATTTATACGACAAGGTGACTTCTGACTCACCACGGCTAGCACTACATCCTATGGAAGTCATTTGGGACTCGTTTCCCAAAATGAGAGGGAATCCCGTGAACCTCAGTGGGAGCTGGGCTGAGCTTTCAGTCCCGCGGGCCCGAGTCCAAACCCCACTGTTAATCAGTGGGATGATGTCTATCAGCTTCAGCTGGCTTTGGTTTAAAATCATGGGTTTGTTCTCCATTCGTGGGAGAATAACATTGCAGGCTCCGTTCCATGGCCAGCAAAGCCAAAGAGCATGGCTAGCAGTCACCACTTGATCCTAAATCCTGGCCAGTGCCACAGAAGATGCTCACTTACCTTCCTGGAGGACAGTGTGGAGGAGCAGCAGTCACCCCCGTCATACTGGCAGTATGCCCGGTTGTTGATGGTGTCACACCAGCCGTCTGCTTGGAAGGGCTAGGCAGAGAAATGAGTCTTTGCTGAAAAAGTTATTCAAAAGCATAAGGTTGCCCCCAAAAGCAGAGATTCCAGGTCCTCAGCAAGGCCACCTGTGCATCTCTGATAAGGGCCAAGGCCCAGTTCCACCATACACAACCAAAAGGCACCAGAAGACTGGTATCCCGGCTGGTATGTATGGAGGAGTGGGTGCTCGGAGGGCAGCAGCTGTAGCTCAAGGATCAGGGAATTGTGTCAGCAAGTGAGAAAGCAAATCCACATTGCTAGAGAGGGCCCCGACCTGAATGCCACAAGTCCCCATTCCCATCTCAGCATTTCTCCACAGTCCACTGCCACCCAACTAGGAGTCAGTTCACCACCTTATCTGCTCGTCCGCCTTCTCGCACCACCCTCGCGTGTCTCCACTGTAATCCAGCTCTCTGGATGTCCACAGCTGGGCAGGGCTTTGTAAGAATCTGACCCAACTCTTCTCTCCAACACCCCTCCTCCCAAAGACCTGGGCTCTGAAGTTGAGCTTGGTGACCTGGCTTGGGCAGCCAAGTACAGAGAGGCTGTTACAAAGATCGATAGAGTATCCTGCTAGAGGATCGATCTCAGGAAGGCAGGCACTTTATCTCCCTTGGACTACACGAAAGGTTCAGCAAGGTCAGGAGTGTCCCAGAAGTACTTGCGCTCAAGCCAAGTCAAGCATTGGCAAGCGCTGGTTGCAAGGACTATGCCTTTTCCAGAATGCTCTTGCTCTGGCTCTGACCCCAAGGAACATGTCCCCAAATTCCTCTAGATTCTCCACTAAATGCTTGTAGTCCTGCCCACAGCACATGGCTCCACCAAACTTTGCCAGGTGGAGCTACATGGCTACTTATTTGGTGGCCAGCTGGGACAAACGGAAGGGATCTTCATTAAGAACTAGCTCCCTGCAGGCAAAATCCAACTCTGGATTGAGCAGAGAGGGCACCAGCCTATTGCTAACCAGAAATATCGGCAACGTGGCCACATCCCAGCTTCAGCCTTGACCATCTTCCTCCTAGTTTCTCTTTTTCATGGCCCAAATCTCACCCTCTGTAAGGAAATCATATGACTGAGTGGTGGGGGATTTTGCATAGCCAAAATAATGGTGGCTCCTCTTTGCGTGGCACAGCACATTGCCATTCTTGGGTCTGCCTGGACAGCTGGGGATTTGCAGAGCCCAACTTGCCTTGGTGTAGCTCAGACAAATGATCCATCACTAAGTAACCTTCTTTACTCTCAGTTCTAACATGGAAAGGGAAAGCTATCGCAGCAGAATAGCTTTCTGCCCAGAAATGTTAAATGGCTCAAGCAGCCATTCAGAAATCCATTTTATTGTTGTTTAGTTACATGAGTCATCTGATCAGAGAAGAGAAACAAGCAACTGGGGCTGAGAAGCAGCCAACTAGGGCTGAGAAACAATGCTGTGCGACTGGTGCAACCAAACAACGTGCATGTGAAGCACTTGCAATAAACTGTCAGGAACAATCTGCAGCCGAGGTTTATTTATCACAGACACACATCAGCACTGCCAAGCAACAACCGAATGTGCTAACAGAGTGGAGAGGCCATTCATTAACCGAGTGATTAGTAATGAAATACTTCTCCTGCTCCAGGCTCTGTGATGGTAGCTACTGGCCCAGCAACCATGGCCAACCTCCAGGAGGACTGCTGTCATCAGAAAGGGCTCTTGGTGGAAATCTGGCCACCCCTTTGCTCATGGAAGCAGCTGACCTGTTTCACTGGATCTGGTGGCCCCAAACTACAACTGGGCTTCAGAAAATACCTGGACCCAGCCTTTGATGGACACTCACCCGTAGCACCCCTAAATCCAATGACAGCCAGCTGAAAAATGTCACCACACGGCAACAGCTCTTCATCCACTGCGCCAAAGTCAACACGCGGGACTGGCAATAATGCCAATTCACATGAAAAAGCCATGCCAAAACCAGGGAACTGATGTGGCTTTTTGTCATCATGACTCATAAGGAACAGAAATGGGCTCAACGCAGGCTAATGACACTTTAGGAAGTAGCAGCAGGGATTATGGCAAACCACCGAGTCTGTCTGCTATCACTACCACAGTCCTCGGGCCAAATCCAGGCAGCTACGGAGAGATTGCGTTCACCTGGAAGATCTTGCAAGAGAAGAAGAAAGAGCGCACCTTCCTACAGCTGGGAAATTGAGGCACAGCCGGCTTAGGTAGCTCACTCAAAACCAAGAAGGGATTTGGCTCCCATCATTGCTGTCGCAAACCACGTCCAGAGGAGACTAAGGTGCAATTTCACCAAGGCAATAGGGTTAAGAGTCTTCTTCCATTGAAAACCATCAGTGGGCCTCAAATGATGGTGATCAAAGAAGGTCTCTGAGCCATGAAGGAGCTTTGAGCACCAGGGGGGCCAGGGCAGGGATGCTGGGGCTGGCTGGTGCAGGGATGCAGGCAGGGGACCGGCCAGAGCCGCTGGCAGGGAAGAGCTCTCCTAGGTGTGATTTGCTTTTGCAGCCTTCCATGCAGTGGAGTTTTTCCTTGAGCTTTGCTCCGTATGTCATGACTCACTGACAAAACAACACCCGCCGCTTCGGTAGTTTCCATACAATTATGGGGGGGTTTGCCCATCCCGGCTGCACAGGTCTGAAACGATTTCCAGATCTTGTGTGCAAGGTGGGGGGAGGACAGAGGCAGGGACAGGACGGGGAAGGAGAGGCTCTCAGTTTCTTTTTACACCTATTAGGGCTAATTGCCCCCTCCTCTCAACCCGCCGGAGCCTGTACCCCACCCTAAACAAATACAGGCTCCTATGGCAACACTTGTTGGGGAAACTTAACAACTCATGCTCCAAATTACATTGGAAAAACATATGAGGGGAAAATAAAAAATGACTAATTGGACTTGAGGCTCAAGAGAGCCAGGCGCAGGGTTCGGGGACCGCTGTCCCTGCTCCTCGCCCAGCGCCTGGAGAACACAGTGAATCCCGTCACTTTGCCTTGTCAAGGATTTCCAGCTAGTTTTAGCTTTTCAAGCAGAAAGAGCAAAGTAAGGTGCTGGTGGGTCACCCTTGAGGGCAGAGGTGCCCTCGTACTTGCATCAGTCTCATTTTGGCCTTACATGAGTCACGGCAAGGGAGGATGCGGGCAACGCCGGTGATGCGAGACGGGAAAACCATGCAGGCACCGTTCAGCCTCTGCTTGAGCTGTGCAGATCTACCGAAAGTGATGCCGGCGGTGGGAGAAGGGAGGTTTGCCCACACTGGCAACTCACAGAAACACCTGATGATGTTTTAAGATGCTGGCAGGAAAAAAAGAAAACACCAATGCCTAACCGTGCCATGCGAAGGCAAGGGATGTGAGCCAGGGAAGTGGCCAGCTGGGTTTCAGTCGCCAGAATGAGCATCCTCCAGCGCGGGGGAAGAAAAGCGCTGGTTCGAATGGCTCAGATAAACTGGGAAAAAATGAATAAAGGTAATTGCTGCAACCGATCAGTGCCACATTAAATGATAGGGAGCTGCTTGGCTAGGCAGCATGCCACCATGTGTCAGCGAATCTCCCCGCTCGCGCCATCCGTCTTCCTTGTTTATTCAGACAGGAGCTTCAGCGGGACGTGTGTTAGCACGTGGAGGTGCAGCATCTGGCACCGCCGGGCCAGAGCCCTGCGCTGCCGGCATAAAAATAGTAACCACGAATCAAGTGCTTGGCAATTTAAGTAGGCTAAAAAACCACACGCTCTCAAAGATGGGAATAGGCACGAATGAAAAGAGGAAAAAAAATTACGTTGTTTTTTTTTTAAAAAAAAGAGGGAAAAATATTGCAGACAAAGGAGGGATGTGAGATAGGACTAGCAGATCCCGCTACACGTCAGGCAGAAGCATCTCAGAGGGCTCGGTGGTGCCGTTTCTCTCGAGGCTGCCGGGAGATGCTGTGCAGGGAGCGGCATCTGCACACGGCATTTTTCCACCATCCCTGCAGAGTCCCCGGGGCCGGGGCCGAGCTGGCTGGCTCCCTTCCCAGAGCTGGCGTCCTGCCGGGCTGGGAGCCCCCGGTGCCATCGGGGACGCGGGCAGGGTCCAGGCACTTTCCTTCAAATCCACCTCATACGTAGGTTGATTCACTGTGAAAGAGCGTGAAAGGGTGCGACAGAGCGAGGGAAAGACGGAGCACGAAGAATAAATCACAGATGCCATCAGTATCATACATATTTTGGTGCTGCGTCACAGGCATTTGATGAACATTATTTCCCAGGAATGCAAGTTTTGCTTTGGTCGAGCAGACCTGAAGGCCCAGTACCTTGCTTTTGGCAATGACCCGTTCCAGATGCTTCGGAGGAAGGTGGAAAAAAAAAAAAAAAAAGAAAAAAAATTCAGCGTGCACCTGGCCAATTGTGTAACCAAAGAGCTGAAAGACTCTCCTGCACTGCCGCCGGGATGGAAAGTGCTTGCGATTTCGATCTGCTCATAGCTAGAGAAAGCCTGGATCCCCATTTCAGGGGATCAAGTCCAGCCTTAATAAGCAAAATTTTTTCCCCTCAGCCTTTGGGAGGCTGCGCAGGTCCTGGGCTTTGCAACCATGCTGATCCCACCCAGGGAGGGTGCGTAGTTTGCTTTCATGCTGCTTCTAAGTCAGCATGGATTTTGCTATCCTTTCATCCTTCCCTTTGGGCATCAGTATTTTGGGCATTAACCTTGGACCCTTTGCATGCCGTGCAATCCTGCAGCTGAGGAAATGCAGGTGTCTTCTCGGTTGCCACTTTCAGAGCAGCCCCAGAGGAACAGGGGAACCATCATTTTGGCAGAGGAGACAGGCAGGGACCAGCCCTGGAAAAGCTGCCGCTGCCATCAGACCCACAACTTGTGCATCAGCTTCACCACCGTTAATTCTGCTCTTGTGATGGATGAGTCATTAGAGGTGGAAAGATCAGTTGGAGGAGACAGGAGGGAGATGGTGTGGCAGGAGAGACAGGGACAGGGCTGGGTGATAAACCTCTGCTGGGGAAATGTCTC